CCTACAAGAAAGACAAGTTAATAGTACTATTTTTCAAATTTATGTACCAACCACCAAAGCCAAAGATGAGGAAATTGAAGATTTTTTACCAACTTCTGCAGTCTGAAATTGACCAAACATGCAATCAGGATGTGTTAATTATCACTGGTGACTGGGATGCAAAAGTTGGAAACAAAGAAGAATCACCGGTAGTTGGAAAATTTGGCCTTCGTGACAGAAATAACACTGGAGATCATGTGATAGAATTTTGCAGGACCAATGACTTACTCATTGCAAATACCTTTGTTCAACAACACAAATAGTAGCTATACACATGGATTTCACCAGATAGAGTACACAGGAATCAGATGGACTGCATCTGTGCCAAGAGGTGATAGAAAAGCTCGATATCTGCAGCCAAAACCAGGCCAGGAGCAGATTGTGGAATAGACCATCAACTGCTCATATGCAAGTTCAAGTTGAAGACAATTAAAACAAGTCCATGAGAGCCAAAATATGACCTTGATTATATCCCTCCTGAATTAATAGATTTGATCCATTGAACAATGACTGAAAACCAGAGGAATTGTGGGATGACTTCAAGAACATCATCTGTGAAAAAAGCAAGGGTCATTAAAAAGACAAGAAAGGAAGAAAAGACCAAAGTGGATGTCAGAAGAAACTCTGAAACTTGCCCTTGAATGGAGAGTAGCTAAAGGATGTGGAAGAAATGACAAGATGAAAGAGCTGAACAGAAGATTTCAAAGAGCAGCTCAAGCAGACAATAAACCAATTACTGTAATGAAATGTGCAAAGACCTGGAGTTAGAAAACCAAAAGGGAAGAACACACTTGGCATTTCTCAAGCTGAAATAAATGAAAAAAAAAAAAAAAATTAAGCATCAAGTTGCAGTATTGAAAGATTCTTTGGGCAAAATATTGAATGATGCAGGAAGCATTGAAAGAAGTGGAAGGAATACAGAGAGTCACTGTACCAAAAAGAACTGGTCGATCTTCATTCACTTCAGGAGGTGGCATATGTTCAAGAACCAGTGGTATTGAAAGAAGAAGTCGAAGCTGCACTGAAGGAATTGGCGAGGAACAAGACTCTGGGAATTGATGTTGAGATGTTTCAACAAACAGGTGCCCCACTGGAGGCACTCACTCAGTTATGCAAAGAGAAGAGAGCTACCTGGCCAACTGACTGGAAGAGATCCATATTTGTACCCATCTGAAGAAAGGTGATCCCACAGAATGTGGAAGTTATTGAACAATGTCATTAATATCATGTGCAAGTAAAATCTTTCTGAAGATAATTCAAAACCGATTGTAGCAGTATATTCACAGAGAACTTCCAAAAGCACAAGCCGGATTCAGAAGAGGACGTGGAATGAGGGATATCATTGCTGATGTCAGATGGATCTTGGCTCAAAGCAAAGAATATCAGAAGGATGTTCACTTGTGTTTTATTGACTATGCAAAAGCATTTAATTGTGTGGGTCATAACAAATTGTGTATAACTTTGAGAAGAATGGGAATTCCAGAACACTTAATTGTACTCAGGAGGCTGTTGTTTGAACAGAACATGGGGACACTGCATGGTTCAAAATCAAGAAGGGAGTGTGTCAGGGTTGTATCCTTTCACCATACTTACTCAATCTGTATGCTGAGCAAATAATCTGAGAAG